ATAATATAAATAATATGAAAGTATTTATTTAGTTTGTTCAATCTCAGCTAGTAATAGTTCAAGTAGTTTCTATGTTCGTGGATGTATGGCACCTGTTGCAAATATTGTTGTTATTCAAATAACAGGCATTGTTCTTATTAATGGTTGCCTGGCTATTCTTGCTTTCGTATTCGTTGGACTAATGGTGAAAATGCATCCGGCTGAATTTAATCCAATTAATAAACAACCTTTATCAAATGAAATGCTGCAACCACAACAGAATCCAAATATGGGATATTACTATAATAATAATAATCCAAATCCAGGATATTACTATAATAATATTAATCCAAATCCTTCTGATGTTTATGCCACTCCACAATATGCGGGTTATTTCTAATATTATGAATTATTAACAATATGATTTTATTTTTCTTTTGTATATTTTTAATTTAATAAAACAAAATTGTAGTTTGAATATAGATGATATGTACAGTCATTGTATTTCTATCAAATAGAAACAACTAGAATATATATAATTCTATCTAATTAATTTAATATATAAATATAAAATTTATATTCCTAAGAAGTTTTCTATTTGTTCGTCAATGATAATTTATTTATATACAGTAATAGAAATAAAAACAGATTGTTAAATAAAAAATACTGGAACGAATCATCTGATTTTATATATGCTAACCATTTCAATAAACATCCTTCTCTTTTTCAATTATCGAACATTGATTGATCAAGTAACTGTTTGATGGATTAGAATAATATATTGCAATATGTGTTAATAGATCAATTGAATAATAGTTAAATATAAATAGGTTTTGTTCTATATATTTGTCTATTATCTTGCTTTATAACAATAACTAATTGAGAACAAATTTCATTATATATAATCTGTTAGATATTGACTCACTATTATAGAAAGACAAGATGATAGTATATGAGTGCATTTGATAGTAATGAATTCATAATCTATTGACACATTTTGACCTAATAAGAAATTTGTTTCTTGTAAATTTATCAAAAGAAAAATTATTTATACTCATATTTGATAGATACTTGAGAAAAATGAAGTTGAATTATTATTTAATTTCATCTTAAAATAAATATATAGTATATGATTAAAATATAATTACAGTACAACCTTTCGATATGAACGTCTCTCTATTCTGAACAGTAGACGCTTATTTCTGGTCCCATGTTACAATAACAATCCCTGTAATATGAAAAACATATTTTCTATCATTCATGGTCAGAACCAGAAAAATGATGTTATGATAAACAAACATGAGGCATATAAAAAAAAAAGGGAATGGACTGGGATGTGAATATTTAAAAAATAAAAAATCAATATTAGACAATGGCAACAGTGTCTGATTTAGCATTTCATCATTTTTGTATTAAAAGACGTTCCATGAGAAAATCAAAAAATTCCATGTATCGAAAAACATGGGGGTCAACCGATTTTGAATCTGACCTCATAGAAATTTAGGCCTTAGTGTACCATATATAAATCCAAAATATTACGGCCTAAAGATCTATCTATGGTTGGCTAGAACCGATGAACCTGACATACCCTAAAAAATACCATCCAAAAATGCAAAAAATTCAACTTTTAGTTTCGCTGAATTTTTTCCTTCAAATTCTTCCACAGTTGAAATTGAGTCATATACCAATCGATAGAGCTTGACTTGCTCTACAAAATGGTATATATGACATTTCTCCTCACCCTCGATATTGAAAACAAAAAGTCAAAAAACATTGTTTCTTTTGCAT